GGGTCTTTCCACCTCCTTCTACAACTTTTCCTGAATATGAACTAGAAAAACTTCTGTTTCTAAATAGTAAATAACTCCGCAAAGCATTTCTTACACAATACCCCACCTCACGTGAAGTTTCAAAGCGATGCTCGACTGAACTATTCCTGGGTCCTAACGAATAGAACTGTTTGTGGGTTTTGAGACTAGACTCAAGGGCTGGACGATATCCAGCTGTCAAAGATAGGGGCATTAGGGTGTGAAGTTTCCTCCGCATTTTCGGGGGCTGTGAGGAAATCCTAAAAGCTAAAGGAAATGCTTGGGCTTTTGCCATATTACAGCAACAGTATGTGAGAAATTTCAAAGAAATTTTCAATTATGAAGCAAACTAGATTTATAAAAACATACACCAATAGTTCAATTAAGAAGAACAACGGCTAACAAGTACATACCCTCTTACTTTCCGGCCATGATTTGGCTCCTCTTGCCTCGGAGATTTTAGAAGTGTTTATCTGCGTTTTGGAAAGGAACGCGGCAAGCAAGAAGCAGAAGGGCAATCTTTACCAGGAGACGGTACGACGTCGAATTATTATGGTTCATTCATTCTTTGAGCTAGTCGATATTATAGGTTAATTTCACTAATGGCCATTAATTGTACACTTTGGCCACTAAATTTTAATTTATTTCAAACTGATAGCTGAAGTTTATAAAAAATGTTAGCCAGGCCACTAGGCTTGTCAGCAATTCATTGTTTAACAAAAAGTCCAAAGGATACAAATGGTTTGACAACACCATGTTTCACAGGGTGCCTTGCCTTTCTTTTTGGATAAGAAAGGGACACTTTGCGATAGTAGTCCGCTCCTCTAAACTACATTCCGCATTTTCTCGATCGTTTCGGGGCGAAAGAAAATTTGATTACAATTTGTAGAAAACTTGCATTGAAAGTAAATTGATTATTGATTGATGAAAAAAGAAAATTACAATTGATGAAAACAGAAAATTATAATGACTGGTGCAATGGGCGAATACCAATAAGTTTGAAAGATTTTTGAATGAAGGAACAAAAATCTAAGTGATAGGAGTAGACGTTTAAATGACGAGGAATCAAACTAAACGTTTACAAATATTAGAGTTATTTTACAATTGAAATA